TGATCCTCCTGTCTGTGGTGTGGCGAGACACTAACAGTCCTTCACACATTATTGGAATGTCGGAGACCTGACATACTAAGAAGAAAATACTTTCCCCTGACGTATAAACAGAATATACCACTACACCCAGTGATATTTTTTGGCTACCCCTTATTCAGCACAGGCTCGATTTTAGGCTTTTTAAATGAAGCTCAAACATTTCATGTTATTGCCCAAACAGTTCCGTAGCTCCGCCTCTCAAGAGAGGCTGCTGCTGCAGTATATTTATAAAGCGCATGTCTCCAAGCTCTTGACGTCAAGCAAGGGCCCTGTTGAGGCATTAGTGCCATTTTCAAGAAACACCATTGCAATTTTTAATCTTTTGTCAACTACCTTTAATCTATTTTGGAAATGTAGCTCATCACCCCCAGTACACGCACTGAACTTCCATTTGTTACATATATTTCTTTTAGCTCTTTTTACAGCCATGATATCATTACCACATTGTTACTCATGATTCATCGACATTCCAACATAGATTGACATGGCGCTCTTTGGCCAGCCTTGGCCCTTGCACCACAAAACGTCATTACATCATCATCATCATCTTATCAAGATAACTTGAAGTTCAATTTGAAAAAGCAAGACACGGCAGTCAATTTTTGCGTTCGCTGAAGCATTTAAGGCTTTTATCTTTAATGCTTTATGAGAATAACGTCGGTCGTCTAAATTCCGCACTTCATGCAATCACTGTCATGATTTACGCTCATGCATTTGTGGACTCAAGTGAATGGTTTTAGTTATATGAACTTGAACTTTAGTGATGAAGAACTTGAAAAACCGAAACAATGAAAAAGCACCAGAGGAAAAAGCGAGAGATAAGCGAAACATGAACGGAATGGCGTTTCAGCTTCAAGCGGTGAAAGATGCAGCAGGTTCAAAAAGAGATTGCTTAGATGAGGTGCTAGTGGTGCCAAGCTTGAGACCGGGCATGCAGAAAAGGTGTTTCCTTTATACCAACTGAAAAGCAGGAAAAGTGCATTTGAAAGCAGTCTATCATAAAATGCTCCTTCTCCTTACATACCAAATTTCCTACGGCATGTAGGGAATGTTGTTTCATCTCCAGGAATGCCGTCGACTATTTGTTGGGCTAACTGTTGTTGCCTTCCTCATTGTTGGGAGGCTGGTGGTTAGTAGTACACAGCCAATTAATGGACCTGAACTACATGACATGCATAGGGACAACATTTAGACTCTGGCAAGACGACCCCCTCAGGCGCTTTGCCACAACACTGAGAGATTGCTTTGGCTCTCTGGACATCCAATGTCCTGCTGAATCACACTACTACCACAGCTGTTGAATTCTCGGGTTCCTGCCAAATGGAACTGTTTATGTTTTAGGGGCGAAGCTTCTTCTGCTGTGGGTCATGCGTCTGCAATGTTTGTAGTAAAAGTAGTAGTAGTAGTAGTAGTAGTAGTAGTAGTAGTAGTAGTAGTAGTAGTAGTAGTAGTAGTGGCAGTCATAGTATAGCAGTAAGTAGCCACCTTTCGTTTAGCCCTTGGAAGGTCCACTGGATGGCGGTACTTCTATATGATGAATACATGATGAAAAGATGTGAGATGGCGATAACTTGGAATATTCACTAGATGGACAGATGGACAGACGAATGCTGAGACGCACGTACTGACGGACATAGATGGACGGATGCACGGACGGTTGTACGGACAGACGGAAGTGCCGGCTGACTGACGGACGCTTCGCCCCACTCATCATCAGTCTGTGGATATGCTGTAATTTTTTGTATTGTCTTATTGGAACAGCGTACTTGACTTGAAAAAACAAATAACCTACTTGTCTAAGATTCGTTAATGAAATCACGGTCGCTTGATTACTGTACTAAAAGTTGTAATTCTTTGAGAAATATCGAACAGAAGGTATAAGTATCGTTGAGTGTGCTCTGTCGTTTGTGCTGGCTTTGAAATGCCCTTTGTATTGTGGCGAATGTGTCCTTCTTGTCTCCTAATTAATTATAAAATGTTTTGTGCTTCAAATATTGCCAGGAGAGCACTGCAACAAGCCATTGCAACTTACGACGATGGATTGGTCATGTAGAGACTGCTACATTGTATTGAAACATGAAATTGAATAGGGTCTTTTTGCTTTTTTAGTCTTTTATAATTCAAAAAAAAACTTAAAGAATCTCATTACCATCCTTATTTAAATTTTGTCATAAACTTTCACAAATTCGGTTTTCCTTACAAAGCGCTAGTTCAGAATGTGTATTTAGTTATGTGTCATTCTGTTTCTACATATATATTCCTGCTCAGAAAAAAAGTGATGCGTATAAATTCCCCAGTGCTCAGTAGTAGAACTTTGACATTGCAAATAGAAATATATATATATATATATATATATATATATATATATATATATATATATATATTCATAAATGACTGTGCGAGTGGATTTAACATGTGTTGTATGTGTGACATTGTATTCCCTGTCATAATGATGATTTTTATTAAAACAGTATGGAAATATAGTGGGAAATGTGTAGACATTGCAGGAGTATAAATAAGCAGAATTTTTTGATGAACATTGACTTCCAGGTAGTTCTAACTACCAAAAAAAAACGTCAAGTTCAACTAGGGTTGAACAAGGTATCTCAATGGGCAAACGAGAATGGTTTTATACTCAACGCGCAAAAGAGCACTTGTGTCTTGTTCAGCCGAAAGAGGGGCCTCCATCTTGACCCCGACATTGACCTGCATGGTCAACCTCTGTCAGTGAAGACCGAGCACAAGTTTCTTGGCCTCATATTAGACACTAAGCTAACCTTCATCCCACACATTAAGTATTTAAGGGACAGGTGTTTAAAAACAATGAACATTTTGAAAGTGTTGTCACACACTACATGGGGTAGTGACAGGAAATGTTGAACTTATATAAAAGCCTCGTACGCACACGCCTAGATTACGGTGCTATAATCTATCAGTCGGCAACACCATCGGCCTTGAAAATTCTCGACCCTGTCCACCATCTAGGCATTCGCCTCTCTACGGGTGCTTTCCGCACCAGCCCTGTGGAGAGCCTGTACGTGGATTCGAATGAATGGTCGCTCCACCTACGAAGATGTTCCCTGTCCTTTTTGTACTTTTTGAAGGTGAAGGCAGACAAGAAACATCCTCCCATTTCACAATTAATGATTTGTCTTGTTCTGGCTTGTTCGAGAACCGTCCTTCGTTTAAGCAGCCCTACGCGCTGCGTGTAAGGAGCTTGGCCGAAGGAACAGGTGTGCCTCTTCTTGAACCCAGTTTGATGGCTCCTGCAACATATCTGCCACCGTGGCAGTGGCAGCTTATAGACTGTGATGTTTCTTTTGTTGATGTCACAAAGCACGCACCACTTGCACACATACATACATACTTTTTAGAACTACAACATAAATACACATGCCCTGAGTTCTTTACTGATGCGTCAAAGTCAAACACTTCTGTGTCATATGCAGCAGTAGGCCAATCCTTTTCCGAGGCCGGCGTTCTTCATCCTAATGCAAGCATTTTCACAGGAGAAGCCTATGCAATACTGGCGGTCGTAGAACACATTAAACAGATAGAATTACAAAAGGCGGTAATATACACAGATTCCCTAAGCAGGGTCAAAGCCCTGAAAACTCCTAAAAAACACAAGAGCCCCGTGCTGGTGTCACTCTACTCACATCTGTGCACACTCTACACATCCAAACAGCATGTCGTTGTCTGCTGGGTTCCAGGGCACCGTGATATACAAGGGAGCGTTTTGGCCGACAATCTGGCTGCTTGCGCCAATGTTACTACTGCCAATGCATCAACACCAGTCCCTGCACTTGACTTAAAACCTTTTATAAAACGAAAGCTCAGGGGGTATTGGCAGAGCATGTGGGATAAACACACAGATAATAAACTCCATGCTATTAAGCCGGAACTAGGTTATTGGCCGCCACTATCAAAATCACGACACACAGAAGTAATACTAACAAGGCTTAGAACAGGACATACACATTCTACACATTCATTTCTCCTGTCTACCGGTGATTCACCATATTGTGAGAGATGTGGAGAGCCCCTTACGGTTCTCCACATTCTCATCCAGTGCAATGAGCTGGATGCTCTCAGGAAAAAGCACTTTTTACTGCCCTACCGACAGCAGCTCCCTCTACACCCTGGGATGCTCATCAGTAGGGATCCGCTTTTTAAACAGCAAACACTTTTTACGTTTTTAAAAGATGTGCAAAGCTTTCACCCGATATTTCTAGGTCATCCGTAGCACGACCCCTATAGAGTGGTCATGGCTGCGGTGACTACATCTTCATCATGGTTTTATTATCATGAAATTTTGCCATCCGCTATCACTACACATATCTCACGCTACTGTCATGATTTTATTACTTTCATGTTTTAACCCGCGTCAGAGCGAGGAATTTTAAGGCCCCTTTACAGCCACACACCATATCATTGTTCATATCTGTAGTTAATTGAAATGGCGCTCTTTGGCCATCAATTGGCTCTTGCACCACTAAAAACTACTCATCATCATCATAACTACCAAAAACTTTATGCTGTTGTAAGTGTTATTTTATTCACTTTTTATGTTATCGATTTCAATTCTTATGAAATTCTCTATTCTTTTTTCATATTTCTCAGGTGTTTAGATGTACAGTGTGCATCTATAAGCACTTCTATGCAAAATAAACCAAAATAAGTCATTTCATGTGTTAGTGTTTATTTGTGCATGATAAAAGGTACCCTTTTGATATAGCAGTGGAATGTCTTCTAAATTAGATTCAATTTTTTTTACACCTAGTGCAGTATTCATCGGCACCAAAGTTGCAATATTCGTGAAATCTGCTGAATTGGTGTACTGTGGTTGTAAGAGGAGCTTTAGTTCTGGTTGGGTAACGTGATCATCTGCTTCGCTCCAGTTTTACGTTGTGTACGACGCATAATTTTCATAGCCTTTGTTTCATCTTGATTTTTTACAGGAACCTTGTCATCTGCGCCTCTGAAGCAGTCTTTTTTATTGGCATTTGTACGAGGTGGACTACATTCCTGCCAACAGTGCACCTATGTGACCTTGGACACGTCTGCTATGAACAGACACCTTCAGAACCATGAGAGCGAGCCCCCCTTGCAGTGCCACTTGTGTCCAGCTACATTCAATGACAACTCCAAGCTTGTATTGCACGTGCGCATGCACACACGATGGCCCCCCTTTTCCTCTGGTCATTGTACTCCACACTTTTCTCGAAAAAGCACCTTCAGTAACCACATGCACACTCACACAAGAGAGCGTCCATTTTCTTGTATATACTGCAATTCAGCGTTTTTGTATAAACGCAACCTTGTTAGTCATATGCGCTCTCATACAAGAAAGCGTCGCTTCTCTTGTGTCCACTGTAATGTATCTTTTATGCAGAAAGCCCACCTCATTGAGCACGTACGCTCTCACACAGGAGAGCGACTCTTCTTTTGTGACCACTGCAATGCATCCTTTAAGCAGAAAGCCCACCTCGTGAAACACAGCCGTAGTCACACAGGAGAGCGTCCATATTCCTGTGTACACTGCAGTGCATCGTTTGCGGCTAAAACCTACCTCACTCAGCACATGCGCTGTCACACAGGAGAGCGTCCCTTCCCCTGTGTACACTGCAATGAATCATTTTTGCGTAAATATGACCTCTTAGAGCACATGCGCACTCACACAGGAGAGCGTCCATTTTCCTGTGCCCACTGCAATGCATCGTTTATGATCAAACGCCGCCTCAATGAGCACATACGCTCTCACACAGCTCCCAAAGGCGAGCGACCCTTTTGTTGTGACCACTGCAATGCATCCTTTAAGCAGAAAGCCCACCTCGTGAAACACAGCCGCAGTCATGCAGGAGAGTGTCCATTTTCCTGTGTACACTGCAGTGCATCGTTTTCAGCTAAAGCCTACCTCACTCAGCACATGCGCTCTCACAGGGAAGAGCGTGCTTTCCCTTGTGAACACTGCAATGCATCTTTTTCACGCAAACATTACCTCTTGGAGCACATTCGCACTCACACAGGAGAGCGTCCTTTTTCTTGTGTCCACTGCAATGCATCGTTTATGATCAAACGCCGCCTCACTCAGCACATGCGCTTTCACACAAAAGAGCATCCCTTCCCTTGAGTAACCTGCAATGCATCTTTTTGCGAAAAAATTACCTCTTGGAGCACACTCGCACAGGAGAGCATCCCTTTACCTGCGTCCACTGCAATAAATAGTTTATGACTAAAAGCCTCCTTATTGAGCATATACGCATTCACACAGGAGCGCGTCGCTTTTCTTGTGTCCACTGCAATGCATTGTTTGTGAGGACATCCCACCTCAAGAGAAACCTCCGAAGTGGTGCAAGATAGCATCTATTTTTCTGTCTGCACTGCAATGCATGGTTAGCGAATAAACACTATCTCACTCAACGCATGTGTCCTCACATAGGAGAGTGCCACTTCTTTTGTGTTTATTGCTATGCACTCTTTTGTTCTAAAGAGAACTTTGTCATGAACATCTGCAACCACACAAAAGAGTGTCCGTTCTACTGTGTACACTGCAATGCATCTCTTTTGTATAGAACCAGCCTTGTGAAACACACGTGCGCTCACACAGCGGAGCCACAGCGGAAATAGATCCATTGCCACTCACACTCTTGTGTGAGTGACAATGGATCTATTTCGCAGAAGCACCGCCTCACATACCACATGTCCCGTCCACGTGCATAGAAGCCGTAAATATGTGAGGGGTACCTAAAGGGCAGTTGCGGCAGGATGCAAAGTGCCAGTTAAAAGTGAAAGTTAATAATAATATTTGGGGCTTAATGTCTTAAAACCACCATGTGTATATGAGAGATGCTGTAGTGGACTGCTCCGGAAATTTCGTCCACCTGGGGTTTTTTAACCTGCACCGAAACCTAACCACACTGGCCTCCAACATTTGCCCCAGCTGGAATTCGATTCCGTGACCTTTGGTGTAGCACTTGAATGCCATAAGCACTAGAGCCCATCGGCAGAGCAAAGGTGCTAAATAAAGCTTTGAGTTGAAGGTGAGGTGACTGTAGGACCGCGGCAAGAAGTGGTTGCGCAGCAGTTTTAGTTTTCTTTTATTTATTTTATGCAGCAAGCTGTGGGAGGCATGTCAGCCGTTGAGCTGCGTTTGCTCCACCACGCAGCATTACTTCATGGCACTCAGTCAAAGTGTACAACCGGATCAGCCCTGACCGCATAGACACTGCGGTGCCCACATATCACCCTGTGAAGTACTGCGGCGTCTTAAACTGCCGAGCTCTTCCGGTTCCTCTTTATTCAGAAGAAATGAACCAACCCTCACGTGGGCGACAAAGGGTTAGAGATGGTAACGCCATTAGGGAGGTCTAGAATAACGCACTACAAGCCTTTGCGGTGCGGTCGTTGCCACTGCGGGCAGAACCACTCGTGGTCCGCCCACAGAAAATGTGAAATAGCATGCAGCCCGCGAGGCCCACAAAGCGCTGGTGTCGAGGCTCAGTGTAGCTCTCCCACATTAGGGTTTGCAGGCGGGGCTAATTTCCCTAGATTTTTCTCTAGGAGAAGCAAGCAATTTTCTGAACAAAGTGGACGATTGGGCCAGTTGACGATGCATGATCTAAGTATACTACACAGTAGAAAACACAGATGGGAAAAAGAGGAGGATGAGCGCAGACTATCACTTGAAGGCTCATTTATTTTGCACTGTATTTATATATGACAATCAGGAAAAAAGAAGAAAGGAAAGTTAGCATCTGAAAAAACGACAAAGTTCATACACCTGAAGCACGTGGCACAATATCAGATTCATTACACACATGCACTATTTTCCAGATAATGAAGCTCTCTATTTAGGGTCAGATCAATGGTTTGCTTACGCAGTTGGCAGGTTCCTGAGCCATTCTCTGTGCTTCAAATGCTTCAATATCTGCAGCAGGGAATAAACAAACCTTCAGTAATAGTGTGCGCTTGGCTTTGTCTTTTTTTCATCTGTGTTTTCTACTTCGTAGTATACTTAGCTTATTCTTAAACTCATACGACACCTGCAATGCTCGTCGCACTTGTGAATGTTATTGTAAACCTTCCTATTGTGACGACCTCCTGATTGCCTCACAGGACTTTCGGCCTGCACATGAATGGGCCTTTTCCGGGACCCCTCACATTGGGATGCCTCATATCTTTCGCGCACCTACAAGTTGCTGTTAAGACAAAGCGGCGTGCGTTGTGTGGGATCGCCGGCAACCTTTCGTCACTGTCCGGCTTGCTTCTGGTAGCTCTCTGAAGCTAATAGGCATGCGACACACGAAAACACGGCTTACGTCATGATAAACGGGTGCCCGTTGGCATCATTGATGAAAGCTCTTGCACTGGCATGCATTCGGGCCTCGGCTATTTCCGAACTAATTTTTTCAAGTGAGCTCGTAAGTGGAACCACGTGCGGAGAGCGAGTGGTTCAACTTACAAGGCACAGGAGACAGCAGGATTACTGTACCATTGGCAATAAGTTGATGTGTTACCAGAGATGGCTTTCTTATGGCCGCAAAATCCACTGCGCATAGCTTTAAGATTAGATAGTTGTACGCCCACTGAGTTTACCCTTGCCTCTGACTTTTGTTTAGTTTTGTTTAGTTTGTATTGTTGTTATTTGGGGCGAGTGCATGAGCCCTCACATGTGCATGAAAGTGGCGCCTCTATAGCAAGTTTTTTCATTTGCCAAGTGTACTTTCATATCACAGGACAAACAGGTGACGATTCGCGGAGAGTTGTGTAAGTAAGTAGCATTGAGGGAATAAAAAGCGGCTCCAGTGTTCTGCTAAGCGTTCTGAACCGGGCTTAAAGTGTTAGGCACCATCTGCTCTGCCGAATCCCATGGGTCAGCCTACAGACGGTTCATTTCCAAAGTGCTTTCCTTTTCATAGGTTTTATGTCTGTAACTATGTATTATACTCTGTACATTCTGTAAATATATGTTTTTCTCAGCCTTACGAAAACTTCTTCAGTGTTTTTACTTCCTCTTTAAGCGACCAGCAAGTCAATCGCTGCTATTTGCATAGCGACAGTACGTCACTTCCTCCCACTTTGCCATACCACCTCGGGTGATACGCCTCGGGTACCGAGGGGGAGAGTTGGGTTTACAACATCGAAAGAATTTGAATTTTACTTTGACAGTTAAACTTCAGTGAAAGGTTAGAAAAATTGCTTAGTTCGCCAACTCTCAAAAAGAGAATGGCATAATGCAGAGGTAGCGAAGTGAGTGGAAGAAAAATAGAAAGTAGGGGCCAGTTTCTTAGAGGCTTTCAGTTATATTGCCACTGCTGCTGTTTGCGTAAGAGGCAGAGAAGGTATAGCAGTCGGGTGGTCAGTGCTCTGGGTATTCGGTTACTGCAGAGATGGATTCTTCTTTCACTGCCATTACCCCTTTGGTCAACAACACTCGACAATACTGAATGTTTTATGTGTCGCTACAATATGCGTATTTCTTATTCAAAACCTCTAATGCTTGAGTATTCGTACGAATGAGTGCCAGCTAGTGTTGACTGTGTCTGAAAAATGGATCAGCGGCCACAGGTACTCGGAATCATTATGGAGCATCTTGAATTCGAAGCAGGTCTTCTGATACTTGAAATAGACATCGACCACTGACGCTCACATAAAAATGAGACGTTTCGGTCCCACACTGGAGCCTTCTTCACAATGAGAAATTATTGTACATATGGTCCTCTTATATATGTTTTAAGATATAAAATAGGCAATGTGCACACTTGTAAAGTAAGTTGCTGTTTCAATAAATGTGTGTGCCGTTGTCTGGGTTGTCAGAGTTCAACATACGGCGAAGCCGAGGTCTGACATTTTTCTGTTATTTTTACCTTATGGCACTTCATTTAGTGGCCAGTTGCTTGTGTGTGTTTGACCGATGCATTCGATGAAACTTTTTTTACATCATACATGTGCTGCTTGAGTCTGCTGAAAATTGCCTGTCTCTTGCTGATGCAATTCGCACTGCAGTCTCCACACAGCATGCTGTAGAGCAGGAGTCGGCAACCTGCGGCCCGCGTGGCAATGTTACAGTGTGTTACTTCTAGTACACTATAGCAATGTTATGCGGCCCCGGGCATGGCATCGAACCCCATACTCCTTTTTCCCTTGGCATTATATCTATTTGAATGTGTACATGGCAGTTTTTACCTAAAATAACATTTGGCTTGTAACCCACATTTGATTGCAACTTTGTGACATGGGTGCTGGAAATAACCATGATTTCTAATTCTCCCCCATTGTTCATGTGCGTTTCCTCCCCGTCCTTTCTTGCAGTCCCCGCTCTCTCATCTCGTAACGCCAATGCAAGCAGCGTCTGCTAGCGAGTTTCGTGGCTGAAAAAAAATCCACCCAAGCACACCGTAGAAATTGTTAACCAGCAAAACATGGAGCATTCAGCCCCGGTGTATAGCAGTGTTTAATTCGATGCTGAACTAAAGCCAATTATTAGTTAGATGTTCGTGCTTCTTAAGGAGGTAAGACACACGTTTGGATTGGGTTTACCACAGTGTTTATTTCCACATGCTGCCAATAGTGCCTCGCATGATCACGGTCGTGTAAGCGTGTAATGAGTGGTTAAATGCGCTTCACAATGATTTAATCGTACTGGTTGGTCTCGAGCAATGGGCAGTCACAGACTTTAGTGAATAGATTCAGGGAACGTCACTGAAATTTAATTCTTGTGCGGTGCTGTGAAAAATGAATTCGAACATGTTAAGGCTGGTAAACAAACATATAATACCGAAAGGAACTAATCTGTTATGGTACTCAGACTGACCAAAAAATACTGTACATGTACGTTACACACAGTTCTTAGACACAACAGTGATTCGTTCACGTTGGCCTAATCACCCATCGCACAGCCAGCCAGGGGTAGAACCACTCGGTCGATAACCGGGAAGGGGCAGCTTGGTTTAATGAGCACCTTAGTAGTGCATTGGCACGACACCGGACATCATGACAAGCAGCGGGGTGAGGTGGACGCCAGCCAGACCAAGAACTGGACAGGAGTCGTAGTAGGGAAGCGTTCACAAAAGCACAACCCGTCTGGAGGCTGCCCAGTAGTTTTCCCGGGTAGTCTTCGCCAACCTGGACGGTCTCTTGAATGCTGTGTTTGAGTGATTGATTCAGTGATTCTAGAATAGAGAGAAGAAAGCACCTAATTTCTGTCTGCCTCTTGGGCAACACGGCACAGTGCCTTGTAGGGGAAGGAAAACAAAAGATAGGGGCGTTAAAAGTTTGCATGTGTAGAAAGTCGAGGTGTGTTCGTCATGGCTGTAGCGGCAAACATGCG